CTAACCAAAAAACTGGCAGTTCAAATCCACCAGCCACTCCTTGGAAACCCTATGGGGCAGTTCTACTCTGTCCTACAGGGTTGCTATGAGTCAGAGTCGACTCGATGGCAATGGGTTATTTTTCACTGGAAGACCATTTATTAAAGATTTTATACGCATAATATACGTATATTACACACGTATATGTATCTTTGTTGTTAAATGCCATTGGGTCGGCCCCCAAATCATGGTGACCCATGTGTTACAAAGTAGAACTGCTCCATGGGGTTTTCTTGGCTGTAATCTTTACAGTCAGGCCTCTTCTTCCACGAAGCCCTTGAGTGGGTTCGAACAACCAACCTTTGGGTTAGCAACCAATTGTGAACCGCTTACACTACCCAGGCTCCTATACACATTTATATATATGTACATACATATATACACATATATATGTATATATATGAAACACTTTAAATAATGTCTTACATTAAGAGGGTTGTCAATCACACACAATTTTTCTACAGTAAGGGCAGAATGAGGTCATTTCCAGAAGCTCAAGATCATTGAACTTTGCCATTCACAGACTCATTCTGCCAAAATTTCTCAAAGCACAGTGAAAAAGGATCCTATGAGGATTACATAGATCATGTTGCAAGATAAAGTTGACACAGAACTGAAGGAAGCTAGCTGGAAAAAAAAAAATAGAAGTTCCATTACAATGGATGCTTGGAAGATTCTTCTTGGAAAAGCAAAGTTTAAATGTCACAGGATTGCGTTCCTTTCTGCAATGACTTCAATCATCGTACTATAGTGAACAGTATTTATAATATTGTAATCACTGTTTGCTGACTTTCTACTAGACCTGGAAAACATGTCTATAACTAGATAACAAAATATAAGCATTATAATATAAAAATAATAACTATAAAAATTAGGATGTGGAGGGGATGAAATAGAAGGAAGAATACCAAACCAAAAAACCAAACCTATTGCTGTCAAGTCAATTCCAGCTCCTGGCAACCCTACAGGACAGAGTAGAACTGCCCCATAGGGTTTCCAGGCTGGAATCTTTATGGAAGCAGACTGCCATGTCTTTCTCCCATGGGGCTGCCCTTTTGGTTATCAGCTGAGCACTTAACCACTGCACCACTAGGGCTCCTTTGAAGGAACAACGAAAGCATTAATTTCCTCATACTTTAAGATGAGGAGTCACCAGATACTGTCTAAAGTTAATACTTCACGGAACAAAATACGTATATTAGTCAAAGGCATGGAGCCCTGATAGCACGGTGGTTAAGAGCTACGGCTGCTAACCAAAAGGTCAGCAGTTTGAATCCACCAGCTGCTCCTTGGAAACCCTATGGGGCCGTTCTACTCTGTCCTATAGGGTCACTGTGAGTTGGAATCGACTCAGTGGCAATGGGGGTAGTCAAAGGCATACAGATGATTCCTATAACT